ATGGATGGATGGATTTGCCAAAATATATCAAATTTCTCCTACAGACAGATCAGATTACATTAGCTACCCAGTATTCTATGTTGAAATAATACATCCCAGTTCTTCTAAAAAGGACAGGGAACCCTTTTTTTTCCCCATCTCTGACTTCATATAGTTTAGTAAATTTAAATAAATTTAGGTGTGTTCATTTTATTTTAGCATTCTCAGAGATCATTGTAATTTGTCCATCTTGAAATGATGTACTCATGATCATCCATCTATTCATTTTCTCATGCGTTCATGTTTCCCATATTTTTTGCTGTATAAGTCACATTTTTTTTTGTTTGGGCATAATTTCCATACCCTGTGACTTATACGCCGAAGTGACATATTTATGGATTTTTATCTATATTTATAAACCAATTTTGGCTGAGATATGTCTGTTTTCATTCATTCTGACTGAGAAAAAAATTACACTACCATTTTCAGCTACTAGATAGCACTCGAGTAGTAAGGCATGCTGTTGTATCATGTAATAGGTACAAGTGGCTATTAATGACATAATCAGCTTGCCATAGGCTGCCACCGTCGTCTGCCTGGAGTAACCAAATCTGCTTCATTTGGCTGTGCCGCCCTGGCGAAATGCAGCTGATTTGACTGTCAAAGTGCATTAATTAAGTAAAAGTTCAACTGAGACACCTTTACTATAAAGTTGAGATAACAAATAATTGTTTTAGGTGGTTATATTGTTAATTTTTGAAGAAATGGATCTAGTCACCCTCTGCACATTCAAGTTTCTACATATCGGCTTTTGAAAATACAGCTGATTTGAATGTCAAAGTGCATTTATTAAGCAAACGTTAGACTGAGACACACCTTTACTATAATTATGAGCAAACACATAATTGTTTTTAAGTGTTAATCTAGTTAAATTCCTGTTAAAGTCCTCCCGTGCACGCTCCCACGGCCGCCATTTGGCAGCCCATTTATTTTTGGCACAACACCGGCCCTATTTTCCGGGTTCGGCCCACATTTCCGGGTTATCAGCGGTGACGCGTAACAAGCACGATGCGTCAGTGATGATGTATAATAGATGTAATGCATTTATGGATTTTTCCACTTGATTCGACATATTTGGATTGATGCGACTAATAGGCCAGCGCCACATGTACGGCGGAAAATACGCTATGTCATGGAGGCAACAGGTCTGGAAGGGAAATATCCTGAAGGTAGTGAAGATACCGTATGAAATCCTTCAAGCAATGGATTTGCCTCAAGGTCTCCTCCCAGCAGAACATGCCCAAAAAAATCCAGAAGACGGCACCCATAAAGTATCCTAATCTGAACCTCGTCAGTTTTCTTCTTGTAAGATAAAAGAGCAGTGGCTGTATTCTGAGCTCCCCTTGGATGACAGCACTCCTCAAAAGCTGAAAACAGTCAACCTACAAAGGAATCTTATTTTGGCCATTCTATCCAGGATCTTTTTTCCATCATATCCACCTCTCATGACCATATGTATGGGTTAAAGCATAGTGAAACTGAGACCTTTGTCTTTGGACTTAACTCTTCTTCATGACAGACCAGAGCAACACCATTATTACTACAAATGAGGCCTCGAACTGTTGACCCATCTTCCATTTTACCCTACCATCCTTCATGAACAACGTCCCAGATTCTTGAACTCCTTCTCCTGAGGCAACGATTCATACCTGACCTGGATGATTGATCATTTTTAAATAAAATAAACATATCAATGTGATGATACCATGGGGTTGTGGTAATTCTGTAGTGTGTTCTGTGGTCTTATGGCTGTGATGGTTGACGGTTCTATGGTCGAGCACAGGTTGCATCAGGGACTGGCATCTGGCACAAAACAGATGCCAAATCTATGCTCTCTGCAAAAGGGATCAGCTGAAAGAAAAACAACAACAACAACAACAGCACTCATGACACCATGAACAGCCATAAAATATATTGAAAAAAAGAGAATTGCAATTTTTATTCATATTCATTTACAGTATGAACTACAATCTCAGGTATCAATAATCGAACATTATCCTTCGTAAAATTCAACTCCCTACAAGCACTGTCTTTTTTATTGTTTTTGTTTTGCTTTTTTTGTATTTTTTAAACAACAGGAGCACATGTAAAATTATGATCTGAAGATTTTTTTTGCATTATCTTTTGAAAATATTTTTTTGTAGAAATTTTGCCATGTGATGATTATTCTCTCCAAAAAATGAGAGAGAATGTACCCACATACAATAACCCTCCCCATTAATGGACAGTTGGCAGAATAACACACAGGAATTGTATCACCTTGGCTGAGGGTTTTGCACCAAAAAAGGAAAGCAAACAAATTCAGTCTGCTGGTATGTCAAGTCCCACATTCTGCATGACAGTCTTCATTCATTTTCATCCCAGCACTTAAAAACCTCCCCACATAATCTGTCCTGTCTAAACAACTACAGTACCAATACACAGATATTTCATTCATTCTGATTAACTCACAACCCTCAAATACATATATCAAAAAATTCTGAATGTTTTTTAACTGTAGCCAGTATGAACATTGAATCATTTTCCACCAAAAGCGTTGAAAAGGAATTGAGCATTGGGAAAAAAAAAAAAAAAAGGGAAAGAATGGCTTACTCATGGTCATTACCATTTACCTCCCTGTTCTCGTCATTCATAGTGAAAGGCTGGTGGTGAATAGATTCTGTTTCAGCTGCTCTTGCCTTTTTTCTTCTGTTCTTAGCTTATATCAAATTAAAAAATACATTCTAATTTGATGTTCATCTTGTTCCTCACGTCATCACACCATTATAAAAATACCTTAATAAAGTCAGAACACTGCCAATAATTTACAATTTGGTGACTCAGTTTTGAGAGTCAGAAAGTCTGATGTGATTAGTTGGATGGCAAAAAAGGTTAAACAAAGAGGGCTTTAT